AAAAATACCGTTGGATTGGAGATAGCCTAACACTTTGATGAGAATATGGTGCACATAAAAATAGAAGTTTCGTGTATGTTAAGCAAAATCTTGCTCCAAATATTCTCCTCCAAATTATTTCCTATTTGATTTTGCTTACACGTGTGATGCTACGATGTGACAGTGTTCATTCAGCTTCGTAGGTGCTTTGTCGTGTCATGTGATTTTGATTTGCTCGCATGGCTTGGATGTAATTTTCTATTTTCTTTGGTTACTTGGAAAAAAAGAAGTTTGCAAAATTAGAATTATGAGAAAGAAAAAACTTAGGTTATCTCATGACATCTAAATGTTATTACTCATCATATTTTAATCATTAAAATCATTTTTTTTTGTTGAGTATTATTTTCTTTACATTTAAGTTTGATATATCATAAAAAAAAAATATGTTCGGGCGCGAATCTTGAGGTAAATTCTCATTAGAAATTTCAGAAATTAAATTTGGGAACATCAAAGCTCCGATTTTAGCATATTTATAATCAAACAAAATGTCTCGAAAAGACGAAATCAACGACACCAAGGCATTCCCCCCAAGGAAAGTCATCATTTGTAATTGCTGCAAATATTAGTTGATTCATTTAAACTGGTCAAGGTCCACATAAAAACTCTAGTGTCACATATGAATGTTACACCCCTATCTTTCATATGCTTGTGTGTTGCATCTTCGAAAAATTAGGACGTTAAAATTTACATTTCTCGACCGCCGCGAATATTCCAGGACTCCAAAAAGTTTGAAAATCATTTACGATTATTATATTTGATCCATCAATTCTTCTTAATTATCCGTGCATGCTTTTATTTGAAAAAACAACAATTATTTTATTTAGGCTTCATTTAAGATAGATTTTTTCCGCTAATTATGATCTATTTGGGACAACTATAACTTTTTGTAAAGATTGTCGTCAAATCATTAAAGGGAAAATAACTTTTTTTGAAAATTGTTGCAAAAAACTTCCTAACATAATTTTTTTAATATTTTTATGATATGATAATATAAAAATAGTAATAAAGTATATGTATAATATCTTTTTAATAGATTTAAAAATTATTAGATTTGTATTGAAATATTTTGATATAATTTTTTTAAGCTATAAGTCTATAATATCTAGAGAATTGAGATAATGATGATGATATTTTAAAAATTGTTGCAGAAAATAATTTCCTAGCACAAATATTTTTTAAAAATAATAAAAAATAGTGGCCAAATAAAAATTATTATTGTAATCTAAAAACAAAACAATAAAAAATCATCTCAAATTAAATTCTAACTATCAAAAAATCAAAATTTTTATAATAATTTTATAATCATCTTTATAAAAAAAATAAATCCATCTCAAACTAACCATTAATCTTATTAAATCGTACATATGCCCTAAGAAGACCCTTAGGGTTCATTTAGAATGGAGTGAAATTATTATAAAAATAATAATTTTTTTGAAAATTATAATAGAAATAATAAAGATTTTATTTTTAATAAATAGAACAAATACTTTGCTACATCTTGTCATAGAAATAGAAATTGGTGAAAATCAATGAGAACTAGAAAATAATAGACAAATAAAGCCACACACAATTTTATTCTTCAAATATATATTTTGCCATAAAAAAATCTTATCTTATGCAGTATTTATGACTATAAATGATTGAATTCTTGAAGTCTTCTATCCACACACTTCTCCCTGTTTTGTTCTTTCTTCTTTTTTATATAAAATTTGTGAAGTACTAAACTGAATTGTAAGGTAGCAATTTCATCCTGATCCTCTTAGAAATTTGCCTCTTTGACTCACACGCAAATGCAATTGATCATGTCAAAGAACCCTAAGAAGCTCTCATCATGAAATCCTGCTTTCCTCATAAGCCATAAACCTCGCCAACAAGTCGCCCTCGCAAAAGACATCTTTTCACAAGCCACCGATCCCATCGATGAGCCTATTGCTAGCTCCCAACATGAAAGCCTCTCATCACATGTTATCGATCCCGTCGATGATTTTCAACTAGCTCCTTTTGAAAAATTCTCTTCTCAAACATTTCTTTCGTCGTTAATATAAGCATTTTGACTAATTATCTTCTCACGCATGCAAATGGTGCCCAAGTAAGATTAAAGCTATCAGAATTGGGTCAAAGGTCAGATTCGAGTTGAACCCGAAACTAACACATCACTACTTGACTCAACCCATTTTTATAAACAGGTCAACTATTTCAACTCGAACCCGACCTGCATGAGTTTTCAGGTTGACCCGACCAAACCGTGGACACATTCTCATTCAAACAACATGACAGGGACGACAAGCCGACGGCATAACAACGCCAACAGCAGCATGACAACACTAACAGTAACAAAGCAATGCCAATAGTGGCAACAGCACGGGTCATTTTCAAGTTTCCAAGTCAATTTGAACTTGGCCCGACTTTTTAAACTGGTCATTTTCGAGTCAAATTTTTGGGTCGTATCAAATATTAACACCCCAAGCACATTCGAATCGTGAAATTTCATTTCACATGATACAATCCCCTTCTTGCACAACAAAGTCCTTCTAAATCCTAATATTCAATCAATGTTTAGTTATGTTTGAATTCAAATTAATTGGAATGAAATTCTCAAATTAAGGGCATATAAAGATCATATTATCTGAATAAACAAATGCATTTCTCCAATCACATATATATATATATATATACAATGGGGGGCATATAAAGATCCCTATAATTTTAACCTTTCGCTTCATGGAATATAAAAAGGATGACCAGCACTCTTTTTCTTTTCAGACTTTTTTTTTTTAGTTAAGTTTCTCCCATTTGGCTAAAATAAAGTGCGGTATACTTCCTTCTAGATTTTGTACTTGTTTGCTTTACAGCTCAAATAAATTTAGGCCTTTACTTCTCTATCTCACATTCTCTGTTTCCTGATAAAAAAGAATGGAATATATATTTTTTTTTTATGTATTTCTGTTTTAAATTGTCATTATATAATAACAAAAATGAGAAGGAATACAATTATGACAGGATCAAAGAGATGATAAACTTAGACTTTATTTGAGACGATTTTTTTATTATCTTAAGTAACTTTCTAATACAAAATTTAAATTTTCATATTAGAAAGAAGCTTTAAAGTATTGCAGGCAAATCGTGGCGGCCATTGAGGGATGATTCAAAGTTGGCAAGCAATTGAAGGTGGTCAAGATTGTCCTCTTAAATGGAAAGGTTGGATTGGTTAACTAAAAGTTGTTTGACGATTTTTAGCTTTCATGTTAGTTTTTCTTCTAAACAAAAAGGGTTGTACTAAAGGTCATAGGAACTCTATGAAGTTCAATAAAGGTCATTGGAACTCTATGAGGTTCAAATCTATATGAATGAAGATCATCGATGCGAACAAACACTATGGAGTGCTTGTTCATTGAAGGAGGAGAGGGGAGTTTAGTTGGTTTGAGTCACATATAATCCACTTGACAAGAAACAAGGTCTCCTAAGCTGTGTGAGTCACACACCTAATGTATATGGAGAAGATGGGAGGAGCAATCAAGATAGATGTGCAACTCTTGACAACAATCAATTGCCCACCAATATTTTTACAATGATGAAACCCAAGTCTCATGAATAAAATGTAACCATGTCGCTCAAATAGGGGTAGTCGGAATGAGATTGACATGAAGTGGATATAATTTCCTCAAAATCAATAAATAGCGATAAGAAATTAGGAAGAAAAACACATCAAAACTATTTTTATTGCAAGATATATGAAAGAAAACAGCAAGATACATTTGGATCCTCAAATTGGAGAGGAAGATCCAGCTCTCCCAAATTCCTAGCCCGCAGGGCTCTCACAACCTAAAAAATTCTAATTTCAGCCTCTCAAAAACATAATCTTGAAATCACAATATTGTTAGCCATAAATAGGCTCCCCTAATTCCCTCCGAAATGCCCCCTTTCTCTAAATAATTTTCTCTCTTATCCTACATAATTCTCTCCTAAACTTAAACTTTCCTAAACCATTCCCCTTTAATTAATAACCTTTCTAAATAGCTCCCTCTTGATTAGGAAACTTCTTAATTACCTCCCAATCAAATCAGACAGTCCATCAAAGCTATTCATATAAACACTAGAATTTCTAGCCAAGGGGGGTAGTCATCTCGAGCACTCAAATGAAAACTCTAACCAACCAACAAGGTCCCAAGTCAACCTGACATATATGGAATCAAGATTGGTGTGCAAGTCTATAACAATCAAATTACCAACATTAATTTTCCCCTAATGTAACCAAAGTGAAGTCTCAAGAATAAAATGAAAAAAAAACTATTTAACTTGAAGGAAAATTTCGAATGTGTAGCTAGATTTTGATATAAATATTGCTTTTATTCAAGCTTTCTATTACGATAAGTATCTACCATCCAAAATAGAAGAAGAAAACAATCGCTCAGTTTCTAAAGAAAAAATTCCCAAAGAATTCACGATTTCCAACAAAATAGCAACAAATAAGCAAAGTGAAAGAAATTAAGACTATATCAAAGCAAGCTATATGAAAGAAGGCAGCCTAAAGATAAGCTATTATTTTAAGAAAAATAGGTGCTCCCATTTCAAAAGTGGCAGAAGCAATTTTTCACATAGCTTTTGTGTTTGAACCCAGTTCATCCTCTTCTCATTCTTTGAGTTTAGAATGTTATGAAGTATATCAAAGAGGAATTGCAATCAAAGTGGATATAGTAATGATAAAACTCATTCTCAGTTTCTGAATTCCCGTATATATATATATATATATATATATACACGGGAATTCAAAGTGGATATAGTAATGATAAAACTCATTCTCAGTTTCTGAATTCCCGTATATATATATATATATATATATATATATAAAGTTTGAATATCACATAATTAAGTGAGAAGCCAGGCAAAAAAAAAAGATCAGAGCCAACCAAGAGAAAGGGGTCTCTAGTGTACTAAGAGGAGAAAATCAGGCCATTAGCCAATTAGGAATCAGACTGACGTGCAAATTCTATATTTATCTCAGCAAAGCCATAGCATCTGATAAATTCAATCAAAGTCATCATCTCCAAAAACCCCTATCCGTTTATGTGTAAATAACATATCCAAACAGATTCAATGCATATATCGAGAATAACCATAACAAGTGTAAAAGATCACGAAAAAGAAATAGAAAAGACTAAACGTAAAAGGAAGCACAAGTGCAGCATAAAAAAGGAAATCCATTGTGAAGAAAGTATGCAGCAAACCAAGAGCCTAACATCATCAAGAGAAAATACCATTTTTAGAAGAAAAAATAAAATGTTAAGCTCAATTAGTATTTTTATACCAACAAGTAGTTTCAATAATCTGATGCCGGGTGTTCCTTAAATTGAAGGTCAACTGATGGAGAACTTCAAGTTAATTATGATGATCCAATTGTAATCAAAGATTACATGACATAAAGATCAAAATCAACAAATCATCAAGCTCAAAAATGACCCAAAACATAAAATAAAGAATTCAAAAAAATTGTAATTGAATTTTAATGTTTTCTTTTTTATTTCAAATTTTAAGTTTTAAATTTTCAATTTTTAAATAACAAAATTCATGTGAGGTTTTAGGATATTATTCTCTTCATTTTAGTTTTTAAAATTGTTTTAGAAGCTCCCATGGCCAGTCAAGCAAGCCTTCCCATACAAAATTTGAAAATTTCTTGAATATAGGAGATGTTTAGAGTGGTTACAAACTCTCCCCCTCCTTGTGTGACCTCTCCCTCCTTTTCATTTAAGATTGAGTTTTGTATTTACTTAGGATTAATGTAATTACATTAAATAATTGATGGATTTTTTTGTAGGGGTAACCATTTAAGCTTTGTTTCTGTTTGTGAACAGCTTCCCTACTCCACTGATATTTCACAAATCCCTAAACCTTTCTCAAAGCATCCACAGCCCAAAAAACAAACTAAAAGCACAAGCACTCGACCAAACTAGCTTCTACTTGACTTGGCCTTGTAATTTGTCCTCTAAAATTAAAAAAAGCCTCTCCACCAACTCCATAACCAGCTTCCACAAATACACCTAACCATTCCGAGTCCCAAGCTTTAGAAACTCCAATATCCATCCACCCTAAAACCAAGCAAGGTGCATTTGGGTTTAGGCTTTCCCAAGGCTTTGGCAAACCACAACCACAAGCCACCACAAAAACAACCCTCCTAAATAATTCTACCACTTTGAGGACATCTTCATCATCAAATTAAGGCCTTGGTTGATCATCATCCCCAAGCTAAATTATCAACATTATAGAGAGGCATTTTTCATGAACTTAACAAGTGATCTCCAAGCCATAATGGATGCAAGTGCAAAAATGTAGTCAACATGTAATTGCCTACACCTTAAAAATGATAGTCTAAAAGAGCAGTTTTAACATTGCCCCATCAAGCAAATGAAGCAAAATCAGTAGTAAAAAAAATAAAACAACAAGCAGCGGGAAAGCTTTAGAAGGTAATTAAACGCCATTGAACTTGTTTTGACATTTGTGCAGCCATGAGATTACTCTTGGCGATAATGTTAGAACCTGCTTTCTAAGCATATCCAAGTTTTTTGTCACCAAATCATGCCTTCTTTGATTACCCTCCTCCAACTTCCAACAATTTAAAAAAGGCTTAAACTTTACTGCCATTTTTCATTGTTTCTTTTCTTAACAAACAACTAGTGATCCTGCTCAAGATATTAATATCTCACCCAAGCAAATAGGATCAAATTACACTTCAAAACTTAGTTTTTGACTGATCTCTAGATTTTCCATACTACCAGCTTCTAAATTCCTGGTAAGATGTTTGAAATAATTCTAAAAGACATTACGTTTCCAAAACAAAAAACAAAAATAAAATAAAAACGATAAGTTAAAGTTTGAATATTGCATAATTAAGTAGGCATTTATTCAACCAAAAAAAGATTAAATCCAACTAAAAGAAAGGCGCCTCTGATGTCCTAAGATGATATGATCCGGTCATTGGCTCATTAGGGATCAGACTGACATGCAAATTCTATATTTTAATCAGCAAAGCCACCTTAAAACAGTAGCATCTGATAAATTCATTCATCATCATCTCCCAAAACCCCAATCACTTCACAATATGCAACAAAAAAAAGTACGGCCAAACAGATTCAGAATATACATCCAGAATAACCAAAATATAAGCTAAAGGTTCAGAACAATATATATATACAGCGAGAACACCCAAAAACATAAACAAAATATGAAGAAAAGTTCCGAAAGACTGTAAAGCAAAAGAAAGCGCAACTGCAGCAACAAAAGAAATGAAATCCATCGTTCAGTAAGTTGATAAAGCAAACCAGGAACTCACCATCATCCATAAAAATGTACCATTTTTAGAAGAAAACACTGAAGTAAAAACAAAAAGAAATATTGCCGCCGGCTCTTGGAGTTTGAGCTCGATTCCTCTTCTGTTCAGATTTCGTTTTTCAGCCTGAATAGAAGAAGAGCAGGGCAAAACCTAAAGGATTAAAAAGAGCCGGAGAAGACGATGGTCGTTGGCTTCCGTCGGGCGATTTCGTTTGGTGGCTGCTCGCGCTAGCTAGGGTTTAAGAGAGCTGTCCTCCATCGAGATTGTTATATAGCACAATGAGAAGAAAAAAAAATATGAATAATCTTAATAATTTTAAAAGCAACATTTAATTAATATTTTTATCAATAAAATTAAATTTAAAATAATTGAGATAGTATTAGTCTCATTTTGAAAATTAGTTTATAAAAATAATAAATGCTTTTGTATATTATTTATTAAATTAATATTTATAATATAAAATTAAATCTACTCTAATTTTGAGGGAGTAATAATCCTTGAAGTTGTTTCGTAGATCATCGCTTAGACTTAATTTTGGACGGCTAATGACCAATGATATTTTCCTTCTTTTAAAAAAAAATTGTGTAATAAAGTTATTTTAGAAAGCTGAAAGAAAGTTATCTCAAACGAAGCCTTAATTAGTACAATCTTCAAGAAAACTTTAGGAGATCAGACCCCTAATTAACTCAATCATAGAACTCATTAATTTATCAAGACTTAGACTTCGTTTGGGATAGCTTTCTTACTGCTTCTTAAAGCAGCAATCTAGTACAAAATTTTTTTTTTCATATTAGAAAGTTGTTTTAAGAAGTAATAAAAAAAAATCGTCATAAGCAAAATCTTAGTTTGGCTCCAAAACCTAACACTTTGGGCCTAGAAAGTAGATTCAACCCCTAACAACTCTAGTGGAGTCACCTTGACCAACCCAACCCTAAACTCGATTAAATCCTAATATAGTAATTCTTTGGAGCAATCTTAAACCAACCCTAAGCCCTATGAAGGACCCCATCCAAATTTATTTACTTATCTTCAAACAAAATTAGGTCATTCGAACCGTATTGTGCTCATGTGAATATTAATGGTTAACCTTTAACTCACATATTAACCGAGGGTAAATCTTAATCGATCTGACTTAGTTCTATCTTATTCTAAACCTACTCTAACACACCTAAATGACCCCATGTCGACTTGACACATCTAAGCTTTCGTAATGCTTTCTAAAACTGCTCTCTAGTAATAAAAAAATTTCCGTTCATGAAATTTTTGTACTAAAAAATAATCTTAAAAAGCAATAAGAAAACTATCACAAAAGAAACCTTTATATATGAAATATATCAAAAATAGACGATTTCATAATTTTCCACCTAAATTGGATTCAAATATATGAAACATGAGAAGAAACTAAGCTTTTGGATAATCTATATATAGCTTGTAAGAAATATAGTGCACAAGTTGAGATTAATAGTAATACAAAGCACACAAGGATTGCACCCAAAATCACCTCAATTGAGTTCAAGTTAACTCGATCATTATAAATTTTATTTAGATGCAATATATTTAATGATTTTAATTGCTAATTTTATTGATTATATTTTTGTTACAATGACCAAAATAAAAATTGGTCATAAAATGATCAACCAAATAAATCATATGCCCCTTCAATTTAATGAACTGTTGATATTTATGAATATCTATTTTGGTGATATTTAGTGAAATTTGTTGTTAATAATAGAGAAATAACACTGATTTTATTACCTTGAGGTAACAAAAATAAAAACTGTAGAATCCAAAAAAAAATTCATTCATTAATATAATTCATAATGATTTGCTAAGAGAAAATGAAAATTATATTCATTCATATACTTTTAAAAATATATCCATAAATTAAAATATAAAATATGATTTCAAAAATCATACTTCATAAAATTTTATTGCTTACAAAATGATCAGCTAAAAGATCTAGTTAACATCAAAACCTTTTTTAAGATTATACATACATGAACTTGTGAATTTTTTAAAAATCAAAAGGGGTTACATCAAATAAGGGTGGTCGCATAGTGGAGTGAGCTTTACTAATTTTTCCAAAACTGGAATCAAATGACCTTTAAAAAAATGATATATGAACACAATGATTTTTAGACAGCAGAAAATTCACTGAATTCCGGCAGAATTTACTGTGGTCATTTGACCGCTGGAAATACCGAAGGTTACACTGGCAGTTTGACCGCCGCTATAAGCCGGCGGTTGGATCACCGGTTAAAAAGAGTAAACTTCCAAAAATTTCGTCAGTATTATGTTATCATGAAGGTATTTATAGGCGGTTTAGCCGCCAGTTTTATGTGAAAACTTTCCAGCCATTTAAATATGTAGTATCAACGGCTGCAAAAATTAAATAACTATTGAAAACAACTTTAAACACCATTAAAAAAGAAGGAAAATTTATTAGGTCCGGACACTGAACTTAGATATAGGTCCGGATGTCCAATTAAAATTTGACAAGTGAGCTACACTTTTGGAGTGCTTTTTTACTGCGCTTTTTGACTACTCTTTGACTTCTCTTTGGCTGCACTTTACCTGCAATTTATGTGTGCCTTAACTGTGCTTTTGATCATGCAAATAAGTTATGACAGAAATGGATCAGAACATTTTGGTTTGGTTTCATCTTAGTTTTCATTTCAAAATTGATTGTAATCAACACAAGGTTGTATACCTTAATTTGTCAAAGTTCCTATAACATTACCGTTTTGATATGTTGTTTATGTGTATATTTAATTGGACATTCATATTTTGTATTTTTTTAAAAAAAATTCTGGACGCGGCAGTTAAAACCGCCACAATACTTGAAATCTATTTATTTGGATAGAATTAGTGGCGGTTATAACCGCTGCTAAATCTCGCACTTCATCAGATCTACCCCTCCGATCCTTAATCCGCTGCAAAATGTCATTGCAGCGCATTACTATTACAGCGGGGGTGCAGCGATTTCAAAACCGCTGCAAAGAAAATTGTGGTGGTTATAACCGCCGGGATACGCCAAATATTGTGCTGCGATAGGCCTATTTTTTGGTAGTGATTATTATCTTTTTAATGTCAGAATAATTAAAAGAAAATTTATGTATTATAGCCACATATCAAAATATTAAATATCATACGAGTGAAATAGACTTTTAGTCCATAAATTAAAGTCAATTCAACTGGCCACCTCACCATTTCATCTCATCAAAAATCTGCCTTGCAAGTTAGTCAACATATGAAGTAATTTACATGCATGGTGAACTTTGTGATGGCTAAATTTATCATGAAAAGTAATCTAACTTCATTTATATGTATGCTTAATTGGTATGGTGCTCTTCTATGCATAACATAGCAACAAAAAATTAACTTTTAACGACAAATGAATTAAGACATTTTTATTTAAATGTTTTAAAAAAATATTTATTAGGGCATATTCTAATTTGGCGCAAACAGAACGATTTGGCAGTAAAAGAGAGAGATCATGCAAATAAGTTTTCATGCCCGCTTCTTATTCTTCCATCTAGGCCATATTCAAATTTATTCGCCGCTTTCGTCTGGCATGCGTTCTCTTCGTCTACCCTTCCTAGTTCTTGTTGATCTCTACTGCTACATTGACAATCGTGATCGTTGCATCAGGTAAATATTCTTATTAGGGCTTTCAATCGCCGGCCTTCATCCTTCTTCTAAAGCCGATCGAATGCCCGGTGTCTAGGGTTTCATAAAAAATTCTTCATTCTTCTTTTTATTTTTTAGGGTTCTTGTGGTTCTCGCAATTTCTGAACGACGTATAGAACGCCAAATTGTGGTTCTCACAATTTCTGAATAATTATTTTATCTAAATGATTGCTTATATGATCCAAGATTACATAAATCAAGTCATTTAAGGATTGATGATCGAAAGAAATATGATAGAATATAATTAATTATAGTACGCATTTGAGAAAATGAGTATGTATATATGACTCGTCAAAAAACAACATTCACTTAGTTCAACCATAGTTAAAATATGATTAATACATGCATCATGATAAAAGAGCATACATAAGACTATTTTCACTTGGATCTCCTCCAAAACAAAACTCCTTAATGACTTGTAATAGTTCACTTATCATCTCCATCTTAATGCTTGCAACATTTACTAATTATAGGAACCATATAAAAGCACTTTCACAGGAGGGCCAAACCACAGGATATGTTATCATTAGCTTCTTTGCTTTTGGAAGTTGTGAACCTTATTCTCTCTTTACAATAAGTAGAAAATAATTGACCACTCTCTCATATAAGATGTAGGTCAAAAAACCAAACCAATATAAATTCCTCTCATTTATGTGTTAAGTCTTGTAGCTTGAATTAGATGAATTGATCTCATATTACTATCATACTACCAAGAAATATTTTTACAATGAATCTCAGAGAAAGCAAATTTAATGTACAATCCTATAGGTATAATACAAATAAATCATCAAATTACAACAAAAAATCCTATATATTTTTCATGTATATAACACAAAATATACTATCATACATCGCAAAACTAATAACAATGGAGAAAATCATGTAAGCTAGATTTTTAGATCATAAAGTAAAGTTAACTTACCACCTCGTGATACCTCCTCATAAGTAGTCTACCTTGCAGGCAAATCTACCTACGAAATAATTTATATTAAAAATTTTATCATGGCAGAGTTTATCATATAGTTTATTATGAGAAATACAGCATGCAACATGCAAAATA